TTAATAACAATTGCAATTTTTTACCTGCACCAAAATACTTTGAAAACATTTTTCTAGATGTGATTTCGAATCGAATGAGCTATCGCTCATATTTTTAGAACCTTTACCTCTATTTTTCATGTTTTTGAACTTGTTGATTAGATTAATAACGCTTTTTTACACTTTGAATCGCCGAATGGAACATTTGCTTCCCATATATTCCCAAGATGCATATTAATTCATTTCCTCAGAAAATGTATCAACTCATCTGATGTAGTACTCATCGAAACAAGTTCACGTTCACAAATTAGTATGTATTGTAACGAACCTCAAGTCGCCCCTGACCGATATGCCGGCCAGTGAACAAACACCGCAAAAGGAATGCAGTCGGCAACCGCCGGTAAAATCTAGTCGAGTATCGAACCGACTCCAGATTTCGGGAAAGAATCGTTACACTATATAAGTCCGGCTTCCCGATCCAAGGGAGAGTTCAGTAAGTGAATCGAGCGGTTAAACAAGGAATTCAAATAGTGGAAATAAATTAAGCGTTAGTTGCTGAGTGTTGTAAATAAATTAGTTTGTGATTAGTGAAATATTATGGGAAATACTTTGTTTCAGTCAGTTAATTCTTTAATTTGTTACAGTATACACCACATTGAGATGACATTATCTAAAGACGTTTTGATATTTTTCCACAATCGATGGTATTTCCGCTCTTTTGATCCCTGGTTTATCTATCTCATTATTTCGCAGCAAAAAGTGTATTTCTTTCATCAGACGACAATATAATTTGATCTACTCGAATAAATCCATTTTTTTTTCAGAGAGTATTCCCGTTCAATTTCGTCGAAAGCATGCCAATTTACGTACCGTACTTCTTTGTGAAAATATCAATCTATCGAGGAATGCCGCTAGAAAGGAAAGGCAGCTGACGATCCGCGCTTGAAAAGACATTTTCAGAACGATCATTCTCAATCTTTGAAGTCTACAATTGGGAATTTGTAATTGATTGCAGATATCCGGTCTGGAAAAAATTTCTATAGTGGACAAGCGGAAAATCCCAGTATCGAAAATTTTTAATACTTACATTTGTCATCTTTCTAAACTTCCTCAAGATGGTAAAACTGAATGAATTGCACAATATTAACCTCAATGATTCACCTCTACTTTTTGTCGGTATAACAAGAAAGTATGACGATCGGTTGTGAATGTCAAAAAATACAAAGCCCATAGAAGCTCAGAACTGGCATTTTTGTGTACTCTAAAATTTGTAGTACTCAACCTGACCACCAGAGGGCGATTCTAGTACGATGTCAGTATTTCATGTGATTACCAACAGAACTCTGGGTAGCAGTCGCTGACAGTCGTCTTTGTAATTCAATTTTGGAGTACATCCCCACTTCGATATGATTCAGCCGACTGGTTATCAGCGACTGCTAGTTATCCAATTCACTGATGTCTTCTTGATTTCAATCAGGATGGAGTCCAGCTCCCTTACCCTTTTGGCTGAGTAATGAAGTTACCCAATTCTGTTGATACCCACATTAAATACTGACCTCGTACTGCTAGTCAAGGTGAGCTTCTATGGGCTTTGTATTATTTGGCAATGTGGATATATTAGGTGGGATGAAAATTTTGTGGGCTAACACACAGATGGCGCTACTAGTATCAAATCCATATTCTTTTTAGCTACCCTAACCTTCAATTCGCAGCTGTCGGAGTATTAGTTTGTAGGATAGAACATTTCAACTGAAGCAACTTCTATAAGTTTGAAAAAAATTAATGAAAAAAAAATTTCGTGTGCNTAATCAAAATAGTACAAGAGACGCTTTCAAATTTTCTAAATGTATTTCCACTTTCAACTGCGATAATTCAGGATCCCTATGCCACCCGAAAAACCGGGCTCGTCAGCTAGTAACTAATAATAATAACATAAAATTCTTCTAGGCAAAATTATGTTCACAGCTATCAATTTTAATAATAAATCAAGTTAAATCAATACATAATATGTAGGTGGGCTGGCAAATTCGTAGGCTAACACACAGATGGCGCTACTAGCATTGAACTCATATGATTTTAAGTTAACCCTAACCTTCAAAAGACACATATCCAAATTTCACAGCTGTCGGACCATTAGTTCAGGGAATAGAACAATTTGAGTGAAGCAACTTCTGGTAGTTTGAATAACATGTTGATAGAGCATTGCTTTTTAACGAAAAAAATACTGTTGAAGCCAAGGCTTGGTTTGTTAAACATCATTCTAACTTAGCACCAATAAAGCAATCGTTGAGAAGTGGTTTATTAAGTTTAAATGAGGTGAAATAAGCATCGAGGACTACGGACGCAGTGGACGCCCAAAAGAGGCTGTTACCGACGAAAACATAAAAAAAGTTCACAAAATAATTTTGGATGACAGCAAAGTGAAGTTGATAGAGATAGCTGAGGCTCTAAAGATATCAAAGGAACGTGTTGGACATATCATGCATGAATATTTGGGTATGCGAAAGCTCTGTTCAAAGTGGGAGCCGCGTGAACTCACAATAGACTCAAAACAACAACAAATTGATGATTCTGAGCAGTGTAGGAAGCTGTTCGAAGAAAAAGAAATTATCAAGACAATACACCGTGTCACGAATCAATGAAAACGATGGCAAAATAGCATGAATTGGGCTTCGAATTGCTTCCGCGTCCACCGTATTCTCCAGATCTGGTCCCCAGCAATTTTTTCCTGTTCTCAGACCTCAAGAGAATTCTCGTACCAAGAGATAGTCGTCGAAACTGAAGCCAATGTTGAAGGTAAAGACAAATTGTACTATAAAAAATGGTATCGAAAAATTGTATGACCTTTATAATGTGTCTATCGCCATCGAAAGCAACTATATTGAATAATGAAATAAAATTTTATCGAAAAACCTTTTTTTCTATGTCAGCTTACAAATTACCACAACATATGTAACCATTAGTCTGAAAATTAAGAAAAGGTATAAGTTACCAAAAAAATAGGACTTTTTGTAGACTTATAACATCATATGTAGTGAAAGCTCCCCAGTTCTCACCACCGATCTGACTTCTCACCGCTAATATAGTTATATTTCAAACCAACACATACAAAACATTAATTAATTGTACACATAAAACTTTCTCTTGAATCGCTCGCTGCTTTAGTGAAAACCGTATGGAATCCGTTTGGTAGTTTTTAAGTTTATCGTGTTCAGACAGATAGACAAACAGACAAAAAAACAGGCAGGCAGGCAGACATGGAGGGGAACTTTTAATTTATAATATATTTTCATAATA